CCCATCGAGCTCCTGAGAAGAGGCCATGAGGTGGTTTTCTTGTGTTTGAAGGATTGGCTGAGCTGTGCCAGGGAAGGGGCGCTTCAACGGCAGGCCAGTCGAGATGGTCCCGCTCGGGCACCCAGTCCTTCGATTCGGTCAAGGGCGATGTGCGTTTGCTTACCGCTTCGTTGAGGCCCCGCCGCGCGGGGGGGGGCCGGGCTCCAGCCCTGCCCGGGGCCCCTCGGCAGATCGGGCCCGAGGCCGCACTCCACAGGGCCGGGTGCGGGCCCCCAGTGGAAGCGGGAAGCGCGTTTCCTCCGCTTGTGTGCTCTGCGAGGCTGCGAGTCCGGCGGGCCCGGCGGCTGGAATGCCGTCTGCCAGAGGAAACAGCCGAGGCCGAGGCCCTCGTTCCGATCTCCGCTGTCTGTGTGCTCGTGAGCTTCCCGTATGTTTGTCCAGGTTGAGGTGTGGAAGGCCGGCGGTGCGATGCTAGAGAGGTTTCCGTGATGCGATGGAGTGGCCTCTGCGATTTTCTGTGCCCTGCCTGGCCCTGCCTGGCCCTGCCCGGCCCTGCCCGTTGCCATGTCAAGATTAGGCTTGTTTCACATCGGAATCACGGTTTCTGCCCGCCCTCGAAGTGAGGGCCTCGCGGAGACATGAGAAGTTCCGCATGGCGTCGAATGGGCGCTTCAGAGCACTGGTGGCCTATAACTTATCATGCTACTCGTCCATTGCAAACATACGTGCATACAGACAGCTAGCCGACGAGACTCAAGGAGAGTCTGTAGTCTAGGCTCCATATTTCAACTTTGGTCGCCCAAAGAAGCCGAGTGCTCGCCGCAGAACGTGACGACGCTTGATGCATGAAATCTTGGGTTGAGCGGTGAAGTGTGCAAGCTCGTTCGCGCATTATCTGAGACAGCCTGGCGTGCCGCAGCCACTTTGACGGCGCTGTTCCTCCGCCGCCTGCGATCCGGACCGGCAGCGGATAGAGGCCTGTGAGTTTTGAAAGAGTGCTTCATGCCACACGTTCGAGGCTTCGTATGTGGCAAGCCCAGGCTTCGCCTCGGCAGATTCGCACCAGTTTTCTTAGGCCTCTCTAGGATGGCATCCTGCGAGACGGCACTCGGGAGAAGCTGCGCCTCATTACCATTCTCGGGCAGAGGTGATAGCGAAGGAATAGACTCCCTTTGGCAAGCATCGGAAGATTTGCCGTCAGGGTCAATGCATCGAACTTCACATGTCGTGCTCGTAGTCTTCTTGAAAACTCGTGTTTGTAGTCTTCCAAAACCTTGGTGGCATTGGCCTGCACCTTCTAGTAACGGTTGTCTGCCCAGAGACTACCTGAATCTTACCGGATTACCGATATGGGCACACAAACTCCGAGGGGACATCTGATGGGGCTTCCCCTGACAGCATATCGATGCAAACAAGAAGTGACTGTTACCGACACCGATACCTCACTGTAGGGTAGGGTTTCGGAAAGTGGGCTGTAAATCCTGGTGAAATGGGCATGTATTGGTGGTACATGCCGTTTCAAGCTGTTGCTTGCAAGAGCATCAGGGGACCCCAGCTCGTTATAGTGTGTTTATGGTGCTCTGTGCAGCCCATCAAAGGGTGTAGCCCTGACTGCTGAGCTCCCTCCTACTGCCACAAACCTGCACAGCACCTCCGGCGCAGCCCGGCCGACGACGTAACATCGTGTCGTCTCTCCAGGGCAGTTAGCCTCAGCGAAGAAGCAAGCATGTCAGCATGTCTGTTTGGCATTTGCCAATGCAGGACTGGCCATGGCAGTGGAGGCCCAGAGATCCCGACTCAGTTTCTTCCGGCCTTGGTCCGGAAGCTCCAGCAGTACGGCTTGACACCATCCTTGTGAGCCGGGAGACGTTGGCAATACTCATACGGATGCTGATGCTCTGAAACAGCAGCAGGTGGTAAGGTTAGCTGATGGGGGCTATGTGGATAACACGGCCGTTGCCTTTATCGTCAAGCACCTGCAGGACAATGGACTAGGCGAAAACTTCCGCATCGTCTTGTTTATGAACACCACGCACGAGGGTGTGCAGATGGGCAGCCACAGCATACCTGTAGACATTGCACGCCTTTTTGGAGGATCCAAACGGCACACTGGCCTTGACAGCTTCCCCTTGATGGGCACAGTCAGCTTTGAAACTGTGTCTGCACACATCTTTGAGAAGACGGCTTGGGACAATGTTGCAGAGCAATGGGCAATCCCCGAGGATCCAGACTCGCAGTTCCGTTTGCGCCACTTCGTACTGCAGGTGGAAACGGTTAGCAATCTTGCCTTCGGTATCAAAGCTGGGGACAGGGGAGAACTCTTTATCTTCATATCTGAGCACACTGGGGCCAGTATTGTCCCGATGACAGATGACGACTTCCAGAAGTACGAGGAAATCTACACCAAAACCCGTGGTATGATGAAGCAGCGCCAAAAGTGCATTGACTGCGTCTTGTCAGCGATGGGAGCCACGGCGCCATCTGGCAGTGTTAAGGTCAGGGTTGCTTTGTCAGGTGGAGGCACAGTCATACTTGCCATTCAGCTTGGTTTGCAGCATTGATGCACCTTGGGCACCCAAGCTGAAGCAAGTCTTGTGGAATGTGGATGTGATAGCGTCCAACTCCGGTGGCAGCTGGTTTTTGTCGATGCTCGCATTCTCCAAGGCATTCTGCGAGGCTTTGGAAGGCAAGGCCAGTCGAGATCAGTGGGCCGTGTTGGAGCCCGACACGTATGCCAACGGTTTCCTGGAGCAAACACGAAGGGTATTCGGTGACTCTGTCCTTGATGATCAACTCTGGGGCTTGGCTCGAGTACTGCGGTTGTCTCTCACAGAATATGGCTTCGACTGGCAGAAAGCGGCCAAAGGCTTGGTTTATCATCCACTTGGCATGATGACCGAGCTGGAGAATGCGAGTCTGTCTGGGGCGTGCCAAGATTGGTTGAATTATCCTGATGGTCCTGACAGCAAGACCCTCTTATTTGCAGTTTCACTCATGACTGAAAACGTGGTTCTTTGTCAACATGGCCCGTTTTCTCACGAGCAAGTTTATGATGCGAAAGTCGAAGGGTAGAAGATGTTCACGCCTGTTGTCTTTGCTCGTAGTGCTTCAAACCACAGCCCACCACACTTCTTCTCAGTTGGTAAGGAGGTGGCGCTTGCCTACACGAGCAAGGGTACGCTGGTGTCTGAGTCGAAGGGCGAGGTTGCTGTAAATCAGGAGGAGAAGAGGGATGAGATTCGGAACATTGCAGCGGGCATCAAGGTCATGGATGCAGCCGGGGCGTCATCTGCAGCAGCTGCGTGTCTTGTGAGCACATCGATCTTCACAAGGTTCCTTTATGGAGAGGAAGAAGATGCACGCACAGAGCTCAAAGCCCTGATGGCCGCAGCAAGCCCTTCAGGATGGGGATGTCGAGACGCAAAGCGGCGAAGGGTTAGCTAGGTTTCTGCTTTGCCACCTTATGTGAGGAGCCAATGCACTTGATATGAATGCCTCTGAGAGAGAAAAGCCCCGTGCGAGGTCGCATTTGTCTTGAAACAGTAACCGCTGCTGCAGAACCCGCAAAATTCCTGCGATGCCCCTTCAACTTCACCGCCTCCTTGCATGCGTGTCCTGTCTTGCGACGGTCTTTGGCTTGGGGGGCTGTCACAAGAGCTAGAGTGCTTCCAGGTGCTGTCGAATATTGCATTTGAGCGAGGAAGGCTTTCGTTAGTACAACAGAAAATTGCAGCATCTTAAAACTCATCCGAAAGTAAGCGACACCCTGCATTGGGCCGGCATGCCATCTTGGTTCCCCGAAGTCGAATGCATAGTCTTTGTCAATTTGCTAACATTCTAGCTTTGTGGAAACGATGGTGAGAAAGTGTGCCCAACATGACTTCAAGAATTGCCGTGAGTTTGCCGGATTTGCAATATTCTGCCTGTCCGTGGAATCTCGCAGTCACCAATGCAAGGCAGCAATGTAACGCTCCTGACTGAGTCTCCGGAGTTCTTGGGTTTGCACTTAAGTTCTTGGGCATGTGACGGCCCACATGTTGACAAATCAGCACGTCCCTGTCAGTGTGAGTGTGGAAGCCACGCTAGCGCCCGGTGCACTTGTGAACCGCCGTTCTGTGAGACAATGCAACAGTTCAACTTGAGGCTACTAGTCGTTCTGGTGGCGCTCGTGCAAGCAATTCACTGTTATGGAGGACACGGCCACGGCTAGTGAGTGCCACTTCAGAAAGCTGGACATGGATACGCTCCGATTCGGATCGAGGCTGTTGTCCAGCTAACGTAGAGGAACACATGTGGATACTTCTGGAAAGCTTGCATGCCTGTCCGGCTTCGGTTCAACTACGGCGGGAAAGGCTTCCAAGGGCCAGGCATCGGCGAGAGCCGTTGTCGCGCTATGATTAATGTTGGCCTTGTAAGCCTTGGCCGATCTCAAAGTCGGGACCCCAGCCTGAAGTTGCAGCTTCGATTTGCTTTCACCATCTCTGGCTGATATGGAAAGGCGATTGAGATGGGCGCTCTCTCCGGTGTCCGTGCCCTGGTGATGCCGGCAAGCGATGAGTGGGAGGGAGATCTGGTCTTGGCAGATAACGTGGCTTCTTCTGGCACAGTCGGCTTCTGCAGAGCTTCTCAGCGGCGAGGTTCACAGCCCGAAAATAGTCACTCCGAGCAACTTCGAGCCTTTGACTTTCAGGTGCTGTCAGAGATCTGCGGTGCACAGGACTGTTTGTTTGGCAAGAGGTTGACACGTCGTGATTGAGAGCAGAGCTTCGAGCCAAAATGCAGAGATGCAGCAGCCAAACTTGGATTTGACGAAGTTTGTAAGTTTCTAGAATGCCAGCTCCACGACGGTTCTTGCGTTCGAGCCGATTCGAAGCATCTAGCATTCGCAGGACCTCACCTTGTCACCGACAAACCCATGCTTCTTTCGGCTCTTTAGCTGGTCTGGCGCGTTCGCTCGTGGGGATGTGGCCCGGATGGGATACAGATCTGCTGCCAGGTATGGCGCAGGTGTGGGACGAGTGTGAGACGCACAAGGCACGGCGGTATGGAGACTAAGGGGGCGGACGCAAGCATGCAAACTGCAAACGTGCCCTGAAGGACACCAAATCCTGCGTTGTCTGTCGCTGAGAAGAGCGGAATCCCTCCTTAAGGAAGACTTCCAAAAAGCTGAGGCATCCTGCTTTTCAGCCAGCTACTGCGAGAGCTTGTGCGAGCATTCAGCAAGTGCCGGGGAGCCCCGCCGCGCGAAGCCGCGCGCAAAGCCGCGCCGCGCAAGTCTGGCCTGGGGAGCTCCGAGTCTCGGCGTGTCTCTGTGGCCGAGGCCAAGTGCGATTCGCAATGCCCCAAGCTGGTCGCTTGCATGGAGGCCGGGACCCTCCGGGAGTGAAGACAGCATTCCCGTCTGCATGGGGTTGCCGGCCTATTAGCTCCCATTGGATGCCCGCCGATCTGTTACAGCACAAACTGAATCAAACCTGATGCAAACTCAAAGTGTCTTTGATGGTCTTAGGGCACCTCTGATCTCAACAGGGTTGACTTCTCTGTCAAGCTGCAGCAAGCAGATTCTAGACACTTTAGCTCGCCTTCAACTTCATGCCAGCAGCGGAAATCAGACGATCGACGGTTCCGGCGCATGCCCGATACCGAATGGGTGATTTGTCAATTACTTGGAGCCGGTCGCAGCCAGCACTGGCTGGCGTCAGGATGTCAACGGTGCTGCAGCGACACGGCCGGTTCCTGGTGTACATCGTCTCTGCTTCGCTGTTCGTGTCGCCTTGCCACTCTCCAGGTCCTGTTTCGGCGGATCGATGCCGCGGGAGCCCATTCCGGATGTGGAGTGCCCTGGGATCCTTGCCCCCGCCCATAAGTCCCAGGTCTTCCTCCGAGGACGAGAGGTCGCCCCTGGAGGACGATTCGCATGGGGCACATGGGGCATGAACGCATGATGGCATGGAGGTGGCGGGGCATGGCACGGTCGGAAGCGGTTTCAGCAAGAGTGTCGACGCATGCTTCTGTCGAGCGACATGCAAGGATTGGCTCAGTCGCTGCCTACGGTTCTTTCACGGTGAGCTGTTGTTCTTTTTGTTGCTGTCGCATGTTGCCTGAGGCTTGGCCGGTGTCGATGCAGAGGCGCAAGTGTCTGAGGTTGCGCCGCATGTCCAACCAACACTTCCCGTGTTCAGCCGAACTTGTGCTTGCAGCGAGCGACAGGGCGACAGGGCGACAGGGCGACAGGGCGACAGGGCGACAGGGTAGTGTGTTGGCGCAGTCTTTTACGCAGGCGGCACCTTCGCCGGCCGTCGCTCCCTCTCCGGCTTCGGTCTCTCGACATCAGGCCCAGTGCCAGCTTGTGATGGGATGAGCACAGAAGGCTGTTGGCGGCCTGCGGCCTACTGGTAGGTGCCGATACCGGCACAAAGCCCGGCGGCAGCGCTGCACCGCATGACCGGGTACCCGGCCATCCCGGCCATCCCGGCACCTTCGCCGGAGCAGGCCATCGCGCCCAGCCCCTTCAGCGCCGAGGCGTGGAAGCGAAGCCGAGAACCTTTCCCCACTCCGACTGTTTCGTTTGGTAGAGGTGGCGCTGAGACCGAGCCGCACTGCCACTGCTTCGACGACAACGCTCCCAGTCTCTGCGGCTCGGGTCACCGTTCCGGAACACAGGCCGGGAATGGAACGCGTGAGATTCAGTGAATCAGGGCCGGGCCTCTGCCTCTTTTGGGCCAGGGCCGTGGCCCCTGCGAAAGAGGCTGCAGAGGCCCATGGCTGCCTCTGCAGCCTGACCGGAAGGCTTCATGGGACCAGCACCGGCAAAAGCCTCGGGTGAAGGCCTTCAGAAACTTTTGGCCCTGCGTTGCTCCGAGGACGCCTGGGCTGCGCAGCCCACGGTCAGGAGCCAGAGGCCAGCGCACGGCTTCCATGCCCGGCGGGGGCTCGAGTGCGAAGCCCTCCTCATGTCAGGTGCACAAAGAAACTCGCTACTGTTTCGTGGAGGGCGGGAGCCTGAATCCACTTTTTCGAGCGGTTCGAACAGGTACGGAATTGGGGTCTGAGGCCCTTGCAAAGACAGGGACTTCCAAGCGGTGAAGTCCTCTGAGTTTCCAGGCTACCTATTATCTTCAGCTAGAGCTGTTGCTCGTGTCTTTGTGGATCTCTGTGTGCACAGCTCCGTCAAAATTCGCAGCACAATGCCTTCCGCACGCCGTTTGCCAGAGGGGTCAGATGAGATTCAAAGAAACTTTGAAGGGTGCGACTTTCGTCTGGACGTTGAGAGAGTGGTTTGGCTGATCCTTTGGTGATCTTTTTCCTATCAGGGCCTGTCTGTTTCGGCTGGCACGGCTTGGGCAGGTCTGTACTTCAGAGAGTGCGGCGCCGTCGACAACCTTTTGGCGCTGTTTCCGCAAAGCCGGGATGGGATCTGCGCGTACAGTTCGTGTACATGCCGGGGAAGAGGAAATCACAGCAGGCTGTCGGGCTGGCAAACTACAGCAAGCAGCAGGGCTTCACAGCACGCAGGAACCCCAGCCATGAAGGACGGTTCGATGTGACAAGGCGTCTGAATTTTTTCAAGGAAGACGGCGCTGTCCAGACTTCGAAGCTTCGCCAATGCTACGCTTACTGAAGGCTGAGAGGTGTGAGCTGCCAGAGTCGTCGCGGCTTTGGGATTTCGCAGGCATCTCGCCTTCGCAGCCGCTGATGGATGCAAAACGGCTCCTCCGAGCCTTGGATGCCGGCCCCCCTTATGTCACACTGCGCTCCAGCATGTTTTCAGCGCGCGAGGCGTTGAAGGGCTCGGAGAAGGTCGGCTCGGCGAAGTCGGTGCAGCTCCTAGTCCTACAAAATCTCTTTGGAAATCGCAGCCTGTCTCAAGGAATCCAAGCTGACACTCCAGGAGGAGGACATCGGCACATAGCAGACCTGGATCCGTGTCGAAAGACATGTACGAGTTAGAATTCTGCACGCAGCCCCTTGTAGTCGTAGCACATGTTGGAGACGATTGCAGAAGTATGGACAAGACCGTACAGCCGGGGTGCGACCAAGTGCACAAGTCGCAGCCAGCACATAGAAACTAGGTGGCAATTGTTGGCCGAGCACGGAACAGGTTCGGGGGAGGACGTAGCAGGGACATCGTTTGACAAATGCCGTGGTGTCATGGGCGCATCAATTTGCCATCCAGACGAAAAGAGCCCGGGTCCTGGCGGCTTGTTTCTTATCTTCTTGCTGGCCTCGCCTGGCCAAGGCCAAGGTCCTGGGCAGCTTGTGCGATGCTCAGCGATGCCCAGTTTCGCGCTTGGCGTTTGCAGTGGCCGTTTGCGAAAGGCCAACGTGCTTGGTGACAAGGCCCTGAAGTGTGGCAGCCCCAAGCCCCAGCTCGGCGGCTCCGTGGCTCGGCCCTGCCAACGTCCGGCATCCTTTGCTGAGGTGTGGGGAGATGCGAGGGAACGGTCCCTTGTGGCCTGGGCGGTGAGCAAGAGCGGTACAGCGGACGGCTCGGGCGGCTCGGACTTTGTCGAAGGCTCTGACTGACGCAGTTTCAGGAACCTCCCGAGAAGAAGAGCTTATTGGAGCTGGGGGCCTAGGGGCCTAGCGGGGCGCAGCTTTGCTCTCTGTAAATTGCGCTGCTGCGGCTTGGCTGAGAATTGGACCAAGCTGGAGCTCGGTCTGTTGGCCGGAGCGACGAACAGGCCGACATTTCGGGAAAGCTGAGTGATCGGAAGAAAGACATACTTAGTAAGGAGACTGCGCGTTTTGCTACTCGCAGCTGCCTCTGCGGCACTTGAGCACTGGAGAGTCTTGCAGGGCTTTGCCTTCCTCAGCTCTAGCCGCTAGCCCTCTCTCGCCTTCGCAGCTTAAATAGGTCGACGTGGATGAAACAAGACTGCTGACGTTATCAGTTCAGGTGTTTGCAGACCCTATGCAGACCCTGACAAAGATTCTGTTTCTGAGACTAGGATCCCACCCTCCTGAGTGTTCTGCCACAGCATTCAGACACTGAAGTTGTGGACAGGTTTTTCAGAACCCGACCTGGTGCAGGTGCCCCCGACCACTACCCCTCCTGGTCCCGGGTGGTATGGTCACTCACTTCGGAGGCGCTGACTTCAGGAATCGTGAGACGGCGACAGGGAAGATGCCCTCACCAGGAGCTCCCCTTGAGCCAGCGGAGCCGGCAGATGCCGGAGCCACGAAGTCACGGAGGCGAGGCCGAGGCCGGGGCTTCTTCGCTTTAAACCTGCGCCGAGGTCTATGAGCTCAAGGCGGGGATGGCGTGCGTCCGCGTGCGTGCGCGCGTGCTTGTTTGGTGGAGGCCTGGCCCATCGGCTTCGGCTCTTTCTCGGAGGTCCATCTCGCAAGACATCGCCGGACCAGGTGGAGAAAGCAACGGCGTAGCATGCGCAGCATTGTGGAGCCCTGCCAACATGGGCGCCCTCTCGGTCTCCCAACCAGGGTGCTCCGGGCCGTGAAGAGGAAGAAGAAGGCAGGCCTTGCAATCCTTGAGGGATACGCGACGGTGTTCGGATCCCTTTCTTTACGGCCTGCTAACCTACATGCAAGAACTACCTTTGGACTTCGCTTCTGCTCGTGAAGTGCCCGGTCCAATGCATGAATCCGCCGCGCGGCGGATTCATGCATTGGGGCCAAAACCTCTCGGGCAATTCACGTTTCAGCGTTGATCATATCCGCCCCACGAAGGGTGAGCTGCGCCATGTGATCGGGCACTGTACAGGAAACGATAGCTTAGTGCTAGTGCGAGGTTACACAAAGTGCAGGCAGAATCTCTCTTCCTCTGTGAAGGCCGAAGGGCGCTGTATGGTAGCCGACACCGACGAGGTTGGGTGGCGCGGATAATTGTGGGAGTCACCTCCTGGCGCGCGATCACAAGGGTTAACCCGCTGTACCAACCGCACTTCGTTGTACCCTCCAGTCTCAGTTGCCTGACTTTTGCTCAATATCGTCCACTCAGTAGGCAGGCTGTGCACAGTTCGGTTTGGATTTTGCAAGCCGTCGCGCGCGCACAGCATCATGAGCGCGACCTGCCTTGTTCTTGCTCCTCCCAACAAACATGCATTCACACAGTGTTTCTTGTGGATTTTGCAAGCCGTTGCGCACCCAGCGAAAAGATTAGCATCAGATGTGCACGGTCGGGTTTGGATTTGGCAAGACTCGCAAGCAGCATGTTCGCGAGCTGCACGTTTTTGGTCCGACATCGCCATTCAACAAGCATGATTGGAATAGTTTTTTGCGATTGCAAGCGTATGTTCACCCAATGAAAAAGCAAGAGCGTGGGTTGTCTGAGTTTTTGCCCATTGTTTGTGCTGGATTGTGCAAGCCTGCGTGCACCCGGATAGCATCAGCAGCCTGTGTCGTTTGGCTTTTCTGCAAGCACGATGAAAAGTTGGTTTGGCCTAGAATAACCAAGCGTTCGTAAACCCAGCGAACGTCATGAGCACCTTCGTTTCCAACATCGGTTCTCGCTGCGCGAACCAGGACTTGCAACCGGCGGGTTCGCAAGCGGTATTTGATGGTCGTGTTGTGCGTCGGGGTGGTCAGCAGCTAACGGTGTTTGCCGGGTGGCGGTGGCGGGGACCTTGCCAAATCCGCGGCTACCACTCAGTCTTGTTGAGTGCGTATGGGGAAGAGCCCACGGCTGATGCTCATGACGTTCTCCGGGTCGGCGACGAGGTGGTCGACGGCTGGCAAAATCCCAAACGAACCATGCACATCATGCTTGTCGAATGGACTGCGATGGGTAAGCAAGCCCCTTGCAAAATCCAGAGCAGACACGGGTGACGTTGGGCAAAAGCCCAGATAGCTGATGATATTCTCCGGGTGGGGGACGGCTTGCGCAGTCCAACACCGACAATGCCCATCGGTGTTGTTGAACGGGAGGCGTCGGGCACAAAGCCAAACTGTGCTCATCATGCTCGTTGAATGGGCTTGCAAAAGCAGCAACGAACACAAGACATCTGAAAAGTGGGTCAAAACACATACAGCTGATGCTGATGATGTTTAGTGGCTGAGCGGCCTGCAAATCCAGAACAAAAGCTGTTTGTCAGTCTTGACGAACCGGTGACGACGGGTAAAAGCCCAGACAGCTGATGCTTGTGATGTTCTCTGCGCAGGCAACAGACCAGAAAGCTCATGAACAAGCAGCTCCAACCTAGAACTGCAACATTTGTCAAAGGCACTGCCATGTCTTGTGATTCCATTACGGTAACCACGTCTAGCGAACCGTCACAACCTGCCAATGCTTAAACTGTAACACCGAAATCCTGCTGTTGCACGGCACTCTTCAGCACCACTGGTACTCATCAGAACCACTGAATCTGACGGCACCCCTCAGCACCACCGGTGCTCTTCAGCACCACAGGCAACGACACGGCTGCATTGCAGATTGCAAGAAGCTCTCTAACACATGAGGCTAGGTAGTGCTGTGGGACTAGCATTACCCCGTGTCCTTTGCTCCAGCCTGAAAGCAATCCGGTGCAATGTGCATAATTTCTACAGAGAAAATCATGTGCTCCAGTGCAAAGGTTGCTGGAAAATCTTGCTTCTTCAAACAATTGTTCTGCGTTGCTTCGCCAAAAACACAAAGCTCAAGTTTACGGTACTTCCAAAATGTTGTCTCGCTCAGGCACCCAGCCCCAATTGAAATCGTTGCCCCCGGCCACAGCCGATAAAATCTTGATTTCACATACGCCCGGCCACCGATCTACACCAACCCAAACCCCTCACAGGCCCCCAGCAACACAAGCCACAAAACCACAAAGGACCCGGTCAGTCACGAGTCATGAAGGACTTGCCACGGCCTTCCTCCTCCGGGTTGCTTTTCATAGCAAGGATTCAATCCGCTTTGCAGCTTGCTCACTTGTGCAGCCTTGAGCCGAGTTGTATGCATCCGCACGGCGTCCTCTGGCCTAAGCTTTTCGCGAAAGCGCTACGACTTGTTGAGGAAGATGGCGGACCGAGAAGGCCCAGCAAAAGAAGGAGTGCATGCATCGGTTCTTCAGCTGTCTGCACTCTGTTCGAGCCTGAGTCCATTGCCAGCTGTTGCCAATGTCTCATGACGTTCGTAGCGAAGGGAGTTCGGACTGGCCGCGACGCCCACCAGTCACTTGGGAATTCTTCTGAGCCCTACGGGATGTGCCTGAATTACTTGAGCTAGGTGCTCCCCATTGAGTACCTGATTATGCCGATGGTGAAGGTGAAAGTAAGATTGCCTTGCAAATTTTTCCTTCTTGAAGGAGGTTCCTTGCTGAATTCATGTCCGAGAAGGACACCCGGTTCTCCTGTGGATGGGACGGCGACAGCAACACATGGCCCTCACTTTGTGAGAAAGGCTTGGCTTGCAATTGAACGAACGCTTCGCAAGCGGCGACATTTGCTAGGCCCAGAGATCCTTGCCCAACTATCGGGCGAGCATGGATAGTCACTCAGGACATCGATCATGCCCAATCGGTGTGCCGAATTGAAGAGAAGCCAGACTAGGACCTAGGGTCGTGCATGACGTGGGCACGCGTTTCGAAAACCTTGTTCTGAGACTTCGCAGAGACCATCGGCGCAGAGTTTCTCCACATGGGCCTCTCGTCTTCGGGAGGCTCATCGCCAACTTCAGCAGGGTTTGGCGTGTGAGAAAGACTCAGAAGTCTCCGAAGATTGGCTCCTCACCAAAATCTTCTGGATCCCAAGGGTCCCCTGTGAGAGCTTCTGGAGACAGGAGCTCCTGTGGATGAAGAGGACATCGTGCAGACGGAGTCCCCTCGAATTTCCCCCGCGAGGACAAGGACCTCCCCTGCTCGTGATGTTCAGACCCGCAGGGACAAGGATAGCGACAGCGATACCTCGCAGTCTCAAGCTGCGGGAGTCCTATGCCGAGACCTTGGAACAGGCTTCACCACCGGAGTTTCTAGGATGGCTTTTGCTGCGGAGACGGGGTCTCTCCAATACGGCTCGTCTCAGCGTCCAAGCGGCAGCGGGAAACTCGCTGCGCCTGGATTCCATTGAAGGAGCGATGAGGTCGACGGAAGATGAGCTCCTCGGTCAAGAAATTTATCATCGAGGTGGCGGAGCGCCTCGTCGGCGAACCTGCTGGATGGAGGACCAAGGGCACTGGTCGATGCTTCTGGTGGATGAAGGGGATATGAATGAAATCCTGGAGGCCACCGAGGTTGCGAGGACCTTCAATGATGACGGCGCCGGTGAGGCTACTGGCCTTCGGAGTATGCCGAGGGTACGAGCTGGTGGGGAGATACTGAATGGCATGCATGATGATCCAAGCCATCAGCTGAGTCCGAGGAATTGAAGGAAGTCCCAGGCCGGGTCTTCGGAAGTGTGGATTTCTGGATTTCGACCAAGCGAGGCAGGCGGTCAAGGCGCAGCGGCTGTCCCATGAATTGTATCCTTTCCAGCCTAGTTCCAAGGGAAAGAAAGGTAAAGGAAGGGTAAAGGTAAGAAGGGGAAGCCTGGCCAAGCTCCCCGGTGAGTGCTACATCGTTGCCTGTGATGCAGGCGGAGACTGTATGCCATGGGACCCTGAGACCCCTCTTACACCGGCTGCTTCATTTTTGGTGATAAGAGCCATTCCTTTAGAGAATGTCCCCGCAGCAAAGGAAAGGGCGCGGCAGCGTGAACTTCAACTCAGCGGGCGTCTTCATGGTGACCGAGCCTGACATTGCTGCCGAGGGCGACGTGCTGATGAGTGGTGAGACCGAGGGCACGACCCAGGTAAACGGTGGGTGACTTCGAGGACTACGTGCTGACGATCGGCGAGGCCGAGGGCACGGCGCGGGTGAATGACCAGAAGACAGAGTTGATCTAGCAGGGTTTGCGGTGCTGGGATAAAGGCTTCGAAGTGCAGCAATGGCTGCGCACGAAGGTATCCCGCAAGGCCAGTGCACATGTGGATCCTGGTTCCTTGATGGGCGTGCGTTGGGTCTTGACCTTTTAAAGTGGGCGACGAGAAAGGGAACGAGCAGGTGAAAGCCAAGGCCAGAATAGTGGTGCTCGGTTACAGTGCGCCAAGTTTGCTGGAAGAGCCCGCTACCTCGCCGACGATGAGTCCGTTGAGTCGGCAACTTCTGCTCAACATGCCGAGTGCGATGAAGTGGCCCATCGGCTCCGGAGATGTCAAGACAGCCTTTCTTCAGGCTCGGCCCGAAGAAAGTTCCCAAAGGCTGCTCGCAAAGCCACTCCCGGAATTTGCTGAAGCCTTAGGCCTTGGCCCCAACGAGGCAGTGGAGCTCACCGGCTCGGGGTACGGCTTAGCCGCTTAGCCCGAGCGCCACGAGAATGGATATCCAGAAGACTTTAGAATCCTCGACAGTGGCCGAGTCTGTGGACGAATCGGATCGTACGCGGACGATTTCCTGTGCGCAGGGGACCCGAGTTCCCAGCACAGCTCCATTACAGGACCATTCGGCATGTTGTCGTGATCTTACTCAGATGCCGGATGTAAAAGGCCCTTCACGGACGAGCGTGCAATGGCACGTCACGCAATCGGGCCCACAGCACGCGGCAGAGCTGGGACATCTCCAGAGCTTGCTTGCAACAAACGACACAGCATGCATTGGCCAGATGAAAAAACTCGTACGTGAAGTACAGAGGGCACGTCATTTGGGAACCCATGTCCAGAATTTGGGCAACTGCTCAGCCGAGGATCTTATCTTCGTCGGATGGAGCGACGCATCGCTGGCCAATACACCGGACCTCCCGTCAACCCGAGGTTTCCTGATAGGTTGATGACTCCAGCTGATGTCCTATCTGGGCAAGGCGAGGTCAACCTGGTCTCGCGGAGATCCCAGAAACTTCCACGAGTAGCACGCAGTTCGCTTGCTGCTGAGAGTCAGGCCCTTTCATTGGCTGAGCAGGAGATGATGTGGCGCCGCCTGACCTGGCGCGAAATGCTGGGCGACGAGATTGACTTGAGCACGCCCGCGGAGTACACTGCGAAGACGAAAGCCGACCTCATCATCGATGCTCGCGGTGTCTACGACGCGCTGCTTAAGGGAGCCGACTTCTCATCCGGCGGTAATCTCCGTGACAAGTACTCTGCCCTCGACCTCATGGGAGTGGCAGACCAGTTGAAGGCCCAAGGGACACCACTCGAGTGGTATGCCAACGATCATCAATTGGCTGATGGGTTGATAAAGAGCAGTAAGCAAGACTCGCTGCGGAAATTCCTCACCCAAGCCACGTCGAGATTGCGCCTTCCTGGAGCTGTCATGTCAGCGAGACGGGAGCGTCGCTTCTTGAAGAATTTTCGGGGCATGTCAAGAGCAAAGCCATGTCCTGTAATTCCATAGCAAGGATTCAATCCGCTTTGCAGCTTGCTCACTTGTGCAGCCTTGAGCCGAGTTGTGTGCATCCGCACGGCGTCCTCTGGCCTAAGCTTTTCGCGAAAGCGCTACGACCTGTTGAGGAAACCCTAGGTTCCTTGAGAGCCATAGGCTTCTGTGGGTGCCTTGCAGTGCACCAGATCGCGGACCGAGAAGGCCCAGCAAAAGAAGGAGTGCGTGCATCGGTTCTCCAGCTTTCTGCATTCCGTTCGAGACTGAGTCCATTGCCAGCTGTTGCCAATGTCTCATCGACGGCAATGGTCAACAAGCCGAGCAGCTGATGCTCATGATGCTTTCTAGATTCTAGGCGACCTGCTGCATAGCCGAAAGCGAGCTACGCTCGCTGAACGGCTCCGAGCCGCAAGCTTGCCATCAGCGGTGTCTGTTTTCGTGCAATTACAACCTCCATCATTCGTCACGACAATGTCTCATTCTCGTGGCCATCAACCTCCACCCAGTGCCCAACATGGGGCATCTGCCTTGTTGGCTTCAGCGGTTTGCCTTTGGGGACAGAGGAGCAGCAGATTTTGGGACTTCTTGCGCCAACTGCGTGTCTGTCCAGCCTTGAGAAGCCAGCTTGTTGCACGTCGTAGCAGCAGTGTTTGCCTGCAGTCTCCAGGTACAGAAGCACCCTTCCCGAGAGCCCAGCAGACGCCGGAGGGATGAGGCGCGGTGCAGGACGGAAGCTTGAAGCATGATGTTTTCCAACATTGCAGCACGACTCGGAGGCCCAGGAAGTTGAAGTCTTGCTGCGTGAGAGCCCTTGGGTGAGGGTGGTTGGGTAGCTCATCCGTAAGGCTCTTGGTCTTGTGGCGCTCTTGCCTCAACTTGAGGCCTGGACCACCCGAACGTGGCAAAGCAGGGTTCTCGAAGAGCCCGGAACGATTCTGTGGATCGCGAAGTCAGACTGCGGTATTCTGCAAGGCTAAAGAATTAGTGTTCTAGCCTGTAGGTTGCAAGAGGTGGGTGTCTTCGCCGTAGTTTTTTTGCTAGTTGTTTGTTGAAGCCGAATCTAGATGGCCTGCCCTGAGATACTGGGGTCGTTTCCCAACATTATTTGCGCACCTCTTCTGCATCTTCAGTCCGCTTCTTTCTTCCTCCTGCTACAACGTTCAGCGGCCGCTCCTCCATCAACAATGGTGATGAGCCTCATGTTCCGGACAACACAAGCATCCTCTCTGAGGACTTAATTAGTAACTAATCGGTAACATCATCAACGATCAGCTGTTGAAGCAGAGGATTGCCGCTGACGCCTCTTGTTTGTTTTTCATGTGCATCACACAATGTAGCATTAGACACTTGGTACTCCGAATTCAGTTAGAGAACCAACATAGGGCTAACAAGGGTGGACTCTGGGTGGCGTCCAAGAAATGGCCTTGCAGCATTTGCAGCTTGTGAAACAGCAGCGGGAGCAAGCGAGCAATAAGAAAAGGTAGCAGCAGAAGCAGGTGTTCTTTTTTTTGCTGCCAATCTTTTTTCTCCTCGTCAGCGTTTGGCGGCTGCAGCAGCGGGAGCGCCGAGTAAGAGCCGAGACGCAGAGATCCTCCTGGCCGAGGCTCTACGAGGTCTTCGAGTGCCAGGCCCCAGCCCGCAAGGCCCCCCAGCCCTGGCCCCCCAGCCCTGCCGCCTTCCGAAAGGACGACCTGTACCTCGTGATGGAGCTCCTGCAAGGACTCTGGACGGGGGGGGTGGCAAGGAGGAAGACTTCTGAAAAGCGTCTCTTGGGAGAGGCGGGAGCCTCGCGGAGCTGCTGCTCCCCAACCATCGCAGCCAGATCCCTGAACAAAAGCTCTCTCTTTCCACTCCCGCGTGGCGCCGCGGAGGTCCCAGAGCCAAGGCGGTGCAGTCCTGGGCAGCGAGGGAGGAGCCACCGGAGCCACAGGCGAACGACTTTCCAAAGAAAACAGCGGAAAAGAGGGGAAACAGCTTTGTTTCTGTGCCGAACCCAGGCCGGTGATCAGGTCGCAGGATCCGTAGAAGGACTGACGGTGTGCGTGAGAATCCACAGCACTTGCAATTCGGTCACGTCCGCTCTGAGGACGCGTGGGATTGCAGGAAAACGAGGTGGTAGAAGCCAGCAAAAGGGTCGCAAAAGGCTGGTGGGCTGGTGCTTTTGTTGACAAGCCAGGCATGCCGGTTATTTTGGCAAATGCTTTCCGGCATTCTGCATTTGCATGGTCACGGTGTGGGCGGCTTGGAGGCTGCAGCCCATGGTAGCATCAACATTCCAAGTCAATATAAGGTCATGCACCGTGACATCAAGCTCGAGCATTTCATCTTCTCCAGCAGTGACAAAACTCAGGCGAAGCGGCCTAAGGGCTCTGCAACCATCAGCTGCTTGTCAGATGCCAGGCTCAGCTCAAGTTAGTGGCGGGCCACTCAGAGAGAGAGAGAGAGAGAGAGAGAGAGAGACGCAGAGACCAGGGTGCACTGGTCCCCGGAAGCAGTGCGCGCTGTTCGGTTTCCCTCGAGTGTAAAAATCATCTTGCAACGATTGTGGTCACATACTTGCCTGCACGTTTTGCCTCGACGGCTGTGCTACGTAATGCTTTGGGAGTCGGGAATCGGTTGTGAATCGCAGGTTGAGAGCTTGTTGCTATGGGCATGGCTGTGCAGGTGGTCGGACGTACATGTATGTCTTGCCTGAAGGCTTGCAGGGATGTCAAGGCGTTGAGGGAGCGAAACCACACTCCACTCATTGTTAATGTGCAATTAAACATGGAGTCGCATGGACGGTAATTAAGTGCTTTCCCGTTAGGGTCAGACTTCAGCAAACAAACCAAGGGTCACATCGGACGGCGCCGTAAGGGTGCTTGCAGTCTCGGAAAGCCTCCATTTTTTGAAATAGTTTGTGTACGTCTCATGTAGATGGGTGATTCAGCAGGAGACAGTGTGGGCCCTGTGCAAGTCTGCGGCCCAAGGATTTTGGCCATGCCTGGCCGCTGCAGGTGCTTTACGGGGCAGACGGAAGGATGGTCCGGCTCTCAATGCTCCCCCTTCTAAAGCAGAGCTTGCATCTGTGTTCGTGGCGATGCAATGACGCTTTAAGGCTCAGGATAAGCGACTCCTGCAACCCAACCAGTCGAGCTAACTCACGTTCATGGTTGTAGAAAGTTGTCCGAAGGGATGCGACAAGTTCACACGCTCGATGTAGGTGTATGTTGTTGACTCTGTTGACGGCGTGAACAGCTCGGATTTCAATCTAGCTCGTCAGGTTCAGGAGCTCACCATCCCGGGGGGCGTCGGCACGAACCACTTCATTGCCTGATCCGCAGATGTTCCTTTTTGCTTCAAAACCTCTCGGTGCCGACAAGCCGAGGCGCCTGAGGTGAGGGACGACAGCCCCGGCCTCGGGCAGTCGAGCAGTCTCGAAGAAGGAGCCTGAACCCTAAACCCACCCTTTTTGAGGTGAAGTCGTGGCCCACATGGCGGACCGGGCCGACATTTGGCCTGGGCCCTGCGACGACTTGTGAGCGAAGGCAGCTTTCAGGCCCTGCTCAGGTCCCTCGGCATCTGCCTCCATGCGATGCTGACCGGCAGGACCAAGGGCGATAGCCACCATGTGTACCTCTACTTGTGTTTCGTTCGGCTGCATCTGTTCGATTCGATTCGCGGGCCGCGAGGCTCTTGCCATGCAGAACCTCGGGCATCAGCAAGGTGTCGAACCTTGGAACCGCGCTTCCCGTTGATCCGTCCGTCAGCCGAGGCCTCCCGACTTAAGCAGCGGGGCTCTGCGGTGCCGCAGGCCCGCAACGTGCTCTGACGTGCTCTGTCGTCCTTTTCTATGCTGCGAGATGCTGCGAGGAAGCCATCGTTTTATGCGACGGGGAAAGCCTCTCTCCCTTTGCGCAGGATCTGTCAGCTGCCGAGCATTGCCGAGCGATGAGTTCTGCAAGCAGCACGCATGCTCTAAGGTTGCAGTCGCTATTGCAGATGCTACCGGAAGATCGACCGAGAACGCCTGAGATACCGTAAGACAGACCCCGCTATTCCGGCCACACACCCAAAAAGGGAGCCCTCAAACTTCGCCTATCCAGGACGGCCGAGCAAGTTGCCAGACATCCTTGGCTTGTCACTTCCTCGTGGCGGAGCAAGGCCTCAAGGTTCTCAACACGTGCAATGCCGAGGCGGCAGCTACGGAGGCCGATTTGAGCTATGCCAACACGGTGATGCCCAGGCCTGCAATGGGTTTTCCTATTGGCAGCACGAGCACTCTGCGAGCACTGCAGTGAAGGTTCATCGGCGACCTGAGCATCGTAGCGGAAATCAAAGCCATGAGACGTCTCTTCTTCCTTGCGGCACACTGAGATGCTGATGTCTTGTGAAGCGCGCTTGAGTTATCGAGCTCGGTATCAGGCAATCGCTCGTGAATTGGAGGACACCAACAAAACGGGGTACACTTCGGATGCATACCGGCGGCCTCCCTTGCAGGATTCCGAAACGCTTTCGCTGCAGCCGGTGTTCCGTGCCATGGAGGCCGTTGCCCAGCACCCCACTCCCGATACCCACTGGAAGCGGCAGGTTCAGTGTGGAGGCCCACTAACTCAGCAGTCCATCTCCGCTGCAGTGCAGAGGCAAGGGGGGGCCGCCTAGGGGCCGCCTCGCTCGAGTCGTCTCTCGCTTGGCAGCGTGCGTTTCGTCGCGCAGGATGGAGAAGTTCTCCAAGCTGAAGCCGAGCCAAGAACTGGTCCTACAGCTGATGAAGGCGACGGCGACGCGCAGGCTTCTCAGCTTTCCTCGGAGTGTGTTTTTGTGGAGGCCCTGCTTTGTGCCGGGAGCTGAGGGCCGAGAGGGAGAGAGGGCTCCGACATGGGGGGGCTTTGGGGCTTTGTGTGTTGCGGTTGCGGCGGCAGGTGCTCCCTACAATCAACTGCGACGGCTCGGGTGTCCTCGGCTGGAGCGAAGCTTTGGCGGTGGTGCTTCTTCTTGAGACCCAGGACAGCCGCTTCTTGTGGCTAGTGCGGCCAGCGCCACATTGTCTCAGAGTGATGCAGGAAGGGGTGCGGTCCTGGATGCTTGGACCATGGCAGGACCTAGACCTCAGTTTGGACCTGAGAAGCCCAATCTGGGTGTTCTGCAGGACTCTGCCGCGGATCGGGCCTGCATCCAGGCCTTCGACAAGCTGGCAATGGGCCCGGGCCCCGGGATGCCCCTCTCGGCCCCTCTCGGCCCCAGCTCTGCAGCTTCCGAGCCGAGAGCCGAGAGCCGAGCCTTCCGAGGCGACACGCGCATCACCGCGAGCTCGTGGAAGCCTCAAAAGAAAAACGCGGACGCGGACCAAAGCTTCTCCCAGACTCTCTCTCTGACTCTGATAGCAGGCTTCGCCGCATGCGCACCTGGGCGAGGGTGGCCGGGTTTGGCCTTGGGGGGGGGAGCCAAAGACGTGCCCTTCCAGGTGAAACCTCGAGAGCGGCTGGAGGAGCCCGAGGACCGCGCTTTGACGGGCGAAGGGGGGTCCTCCCTTCGTCCCAACCTGTCAGGACATGTTCACAGAGTCCGAAGCTTGGCAAAGCGCTCGAAAGCGGCGCTCTTCGAAGACTTCGCTCAAGCGCGCGGCAGCTCAAGCGCTCCTCGTGGGAGCTCTCAGCTCTGAGGCTAGGTTGGGAGGTCGGCCCTGGGCTCTCGCAGAGGGCTGCTGCCTGAGATGCCGGCACTGCCCCATCTGCCCCCTGCCCGCAAGGCTCAAGCGTGAGACCAAGGATTTCCTCTGCATTCTCCACGAGCTGCCACAGCCGGAGCCACTGACGGACACTTCCGAGCCACCCGAACCGCTGCCGACTCCTTCGCGATTGGAGGAGGCCGGCATGCTCGTGTTTTTGCCACTTCTACGTCTGGAAGTCTGAGTCTCGAGGAGTTCCCCCGAAGGAGCTCCCTGGGGAGCACAGAGGACCCTGCGCAAAAAAGCAGCCCGCAGGAAGGCACGGCCCTGAACCCTTGCTTGCAAGGAGTACGTCTGGGATGGACCTTCGCCATGAGACTTCGGAATCGTTAATGTTCCAGCGGCTCCCGAAATCGGGATCCCGCGTTGCTCCAAAGATGAGGCAATGTTCGCCCAAAGGCGATTCATTGGTCTCGGAGGGCAGACTTAGCTCACGGCCAAAGTGCCGTTCTTCGACGGCTTCCAGGGCAAGCACCGTGTCTCTCACTGCAGGGCCACAGAAAATGAGACGTCTCTGATGGCGGTCAACGTGCAGGCGCGTTCTTCTCCGGTACGGCCGCACGATGAATCCACAGGTGCAGCAGCCTCAGCACTTTCAGACTCTCGCAACACTTGCAGCACTTGCAGAGTTGCGAGCCCAGGGCTTGTGGTCGTGGCTGGGCTTCGAGGCAAGCTTCCAGGATAGGATGGAACACACGTCAGACGTGAGGACATGTTGTACGACAAGTACCGCGTCTGCGACTGTGCAGGGCTCTCTGCTGCAGACCCAGAGGCAGCACGCCGGTGGCTCAGGGCCAGGCCAGGCCCGTCGTCTGAGGCAACATGCCAGGTGACAATCCGCAGATTTGCGCAAGTGAAACAGAGGCCATTTCATGACACAGATCCTGCCGCATCGGACTACGATCTGGTGCTCAAAAGATCCTGCTCCGCTTCCGCCGGTCGTAATTCGGCTCAAGCCTGAAGCAGCGCCTGACGAATGGCAACGGATGGTGTAAGCCTGTGTAAGGCTTAAGGACACTAGTGAAGCCTCCTCCGCTGTGCTCCAACGCGCAGGGGCCTGTTTTGCCTGTACTGTAGTACGAGCGCCGCAATGGATTCGTGTGAACAGCATCCATTACGTTACTTTACACAGTGCTGCACCTTGGCCGCATGGCTTGGAAGAATTCCAGCATGAAGTTGGCACGAGCCTCAGTCAACCCTCCTTCGGCCCCGATGTTGATCTCTTGAAGTGCGCAACGCCTTGTTTCGAAATTGGCGTTTCAGCTTTCCAGGATATGACTCTCGACGAGCTGGCAGAGAAGCCCGGGCGAAGGGGAGAGGCCACTTCGCCTTGCATATGCCGAGCTTGTAATGGCTTGCTTGCGGTTTCGGCTCTTGTTACCAGGAGTACTCGGGAAGCAGCGTGTTTGCCTTCCACCCAGCCGAATGCATAACATCGTGAAGCATTTGAAGCTGCAGAGCATCTCGCTGCTCGTCACACTGACACGTCTTCGGAACGTTTTGATTCGAGTGCCTGTCTTCCCAGAACTGCTTCAGATTCGGGAATCCCAGCCGTCAGGTGGGAAATCTGCCCTACAGTTGTAGCTGGCAGGAGCTGAAGGCGGAATGCCCGTGAGAGAACAGGAGTCCTTTGCTGTTTTGGTCCTTGGTGCCTCAGGATCACATGCGGCAAGCAGGAGATGCCATTGCCCCGATCTTGTGTCAGAGCAGCGCAGGATTCCTTTCTTCGGCTTCAGGTGCTGCACTGCGACATCATCGCGGAGCCCGGGACGGTGCCCAGGGGGAGTGGAAGAGGTTCGCTTGTCTGCGCTGGCTCCTTGCGGAGGCCTTAGGAAGCAAGGGCTGCGGTGGGGAGCCCCGAGCCGCCAGCTGGAGCCGCCTCCGCCAGCAGCGGACAGTGCTGCTTGCCTTTTGCTGTGCTTTGCTGAGGTCTGGTGGAGTTTGCCAATGCGGCTGCTGCAAGAGACCAAGCCGTGGAGACAGAGACCTCTCCCGCTTGGCAAAGTTGCGCATCGCGGAGGCGGCGCGAGCCGTGAATCAGCTGACAGACACCGCAGCTCAGCACGACTGTGCTTTCTGGTACTGCTCTGCATGCCAGACAAAGTGTCGATGTGCTAAGGAGATCAAAGGGCGTGGGGCTCTTATCATGCGAGAGATTTGAGTGGCCTGAGCGGCATGCAAGCGGCTTGAGGCAAGATCTTTGTCAGGGAAGATCGGGAGCCCTTGGCCCAGAGAGAAACCACACCCCTTCGCTTTTGCAAGACTTCAGTGCTTCCTTCTCTTGGAGTCTCTTCTCTCTTCGTGTCTGAGGCCCCGGCGACCGGCCCAAGGTGAAGACTGCTTCCTTGGAGCTTCACGCAACTGCCTGTGTCACAGGCCGCAAAGTGTTCGTCGGGTGAGCGCTCTCAGAGGGACATCTTGGGGGATCTGCAGTGCAAGTAACTAATAGAGTCGCAGCTACGCGGCCAAGGAATCTGCCCTACAGTGTCACTTGGCAGGCCGGAGCACACCGTTTTTAAACGTCTTGCCAGCAGTACGTATCGCTCATGCCTCGGAGGCTTTGAAGGACCACATGCGGCAGTGTGGCGAAGCCCACACCCGAGCTGGAGAGCTGAGAGGGAGGCCAAAACAGAGAAAAAGAGACATCAAGTTTGAGAGCGAGAGTCAGCGAGAGTCAGCGAGAGCTAAGCTTGCAAGTGGCATCTCCATGAGGTCCTTCGCTGCGACATTTTGGCGGAGCCGGGCACTGCCTGGAGCCCATCGCTCAGCACAGCCCGCCCGGAAGGCCGCAGTCCTGGCTCACCAAGGCGTTGGGTTCCAAGGGCTGCGGCTGGAGCCTAAAAGCGAGCCATGAGAGCCCACACAAAGTGCAGCGTGCTGATGCGTGTAGCTCTCTCTGTTTAAGGCTGCTGTAGCACTGTAGGTATCGTGGAGTACGCATCCCCGGCATCGGCACAGAGGGCCATCCGAGACCTGCAGCAACCTCGGTGCCGTGCCGTGTTGCGCTGCACTGCAGCGTGCGTCTTAGAAGATTACAGCAGCAAAGGTCCGATTCGGAGCTCAAGGGCCGGCTGATCTTCGTGCGCCGATCTGCCTCGCTTTGTGTCGAAGAAGACGGGGATAGTCTTCCTCACCACCGTCTTCGTTCAATGCGAGGAGAGGACCGTGAGGACGACGGCCCATACCGAGGACTGCAGTGGTTGCAGGGCAACGGCCCAAGCGAACTGCATCGAAGGACGGCGGCCTATGCAGGATGCTGCAATAGCATCCCGGCGCCAAATCAGTCTTCGCGGCCTGGGAACGTAAGCTGTAGATTGAGTCTTTTTCTGGGTGGCTGGCGGCGTTCGTACTCAAAATTCAGAGCCACAGTAATCGACACGGCTTGCTGAAGCTGGAAAGCATTTTCAGAAGCTGCCCGGACTGAATCGTCTATGCACGTGTGACTGATTGCATTTGATCTGCAGCGCGCCTGAGCGGCTCTCGCTTCGCCATAGCTTTGTGCGATGCGGTTGCTGGCCGATCCTAGGCTGCCGTTTGCACAACGAGTACCCGATGCGGCTGCGACCCTCTTTGGTTTGAACGACTTGACGGGTATCCTTGTGCCCAAGACTTGGACGTTGCTGCAGTTTCGTTTCGATAGTTGGCGAAAGCTTAACGATCCAGGGCGGCTTGTGGACTCCGAGCTTTGAGGACCTGAACAAGGACGCCGTCGTCGCGGATTACCAAAACAGCGGCTTTGCCGAAAGCAAACTTGACGGCTTTGTGAACCACCTCAGCTTCGTGGATTACAAAGCTGACAGCTTCGTGGGTTGCAAGACCGACAGCTTCGTGAGTACAACACCAACATCGACGGGGGGGTACAAGACTGACAGCTTTGCGGAGCACAGAATCAACAGCTTCGAGGATTGCCTGATTTACAGTGGATGGTAGCGCGCCACTCGGAAGAAAAACTTGTCGTACCACTTCGGTCTTCGTCGGTGCCGACTACACGAATACAGATGTGACGTCCCTCCAGGCTGGGTATCATCTCTGGACCTTTTCGTGGCGGGGCACAGAATTCCATGACTTGCAAGTGGATGTGCGGTCAGATGTTTGAGACCTCTGGTCACACAGACCAGGAGATGGCGAGTAGAAGTTTGGAGTCGCTGTTCGAGCTGATGTGCAGGAGTATGCATACTTGTACTTCTTCAAGAACAGTCGCTTGCTTCAGCGCCTGGTAGAGGACATCAAGCTGCAGGTCCATCGACATGTGCAGCGAGATCAGGAGCCTCGCGCCATGGCTTTGAGAAGGAGTTCCAAGAGCGATGCCGAGGCCTTTCTACCAAGATGACGGTGGTTTGGAGCTAAAGAATATTGTAGCGACGACGGGGAGCTCGGCGAGAACTATCCTGAAGAAGGTTGCTGAAGCCGGCGACGGGGGCTGGAGCTACCCAGTCAAGGGCGCGAGGCGATGGGCGTTGACTGCTCGCCTTGCGCCAGCAAATTGCGCCATGCCGCATCATGCCCGGTCAACGGCAAAGGCACGAAAAAGGGCTTTGTGCACAGGAGGCTACGAAGAAGTTGGGAGGAAGACAAGCTTGGCTGTCCTTCCGGAACCAATACAAGCGTCTATACAGGAGTTGTAGAAACGAGCCCAGGAGCAACGACCATACAAGGTGCCGGTCGCTGGCTGGATCCGTACCTTGGGAAAGGCCAGCACGCTTGACGGTGTGCGTCAAGCTTCTTCCTGGATCTACGACCCCTCCTCACTCCATCGGTGTCTTAATGTTTCGGGCACAAGGGGCTTCGCAGTAAGTTCCAGGAGCATTGGTCGTCGGCCACGATAAACATCAAGGAGATGGTTCCTTGTCCGGTTGAGGACTCATGATCTCTGTGCCTCTTCTATTGCAACCACCTGGGTGACGAGGTGAGACCTCCAACGGTGAAAGAAGCCTGAAACACAATACCTGTAGTCCCATGCTCCGATAGAATTCGACTCACTGCAGCCCGCCATGGACACGACCGAGATCATCGATGTCAGGCGCAAAGGTCCAGAAACCAGGACTGTTGTGACGGGCTAGGAAGGCAAGAAACAGCGAGCTGACTCCTCGATGCTGAAAGCATGCAACCCAGATGACCACGACGTCGGCTACCTCTACCAGGTGCATCGGCTTGCCAGCCGCGGCTAATTGCTGGACATGCAGCCTCATCTTGCGTCGGCATGCAGCATCCGTTGGTGTGTTCCTTTCTGGATGCCCACATGGGCAGGTGGACGATGTCTATGGCTACACGTACCTCCAGTGGGACAGACTGACCTTTGGTGGGTTGGCCCGGCAAGCAGGATGAATCTGCTTTCAAGCTGGAGAGGGCACTGGCAACAGTTTGGAGTCGTAAGTTTACAAGATATGGGATCATGTGGGAGAAATAGACCACAAGGAGACAAGGAGTTGTTATAGAGACGAAGAGCCGTTTGTGCGCTGGTGGATGGCTTGATCCTCATCGTGGACATTTGGCTGCGCGCAACACGGTTGTCACAACGCATCGCGTGTCCGCCGCGGCGTGCAACGAGATGGATTGACATATCGGGTGCATTTCTCCAACCTGTGGCGACGCTTCGTGCAAATGGATTCCTCCTTCGAGATCTACGGTGACTGTCCTACGGCTTGGCTTGTGACGCGACAAACCGGTTTACGGCGTCAAAGATGCCCGTTGGCGTGTCTTCGCGGTCTTCACGAGTTCCTGAAGAGGCACCATGGCTTCCCTTCACTGTTGGACGAGAAACTGTCCATTTGGAAGACTCTTCCCCCAAAGAACAGATCTCAACTCTTGCAACGACTGCTGTGAAGGCCTGCGTGGACTAGTTGTTCAGTATCCTGAAATTGGAATTTGGCAACGCGACCACACAGGTGATGCCATCTTTGAAGCGCTTTGCTGACACGTTGGTCGAGACTGAAGTCGATGAAGGATGACAACGAGCCGTTCGCTACAGACCTCACGACTTTCCGGCCAATCCTGGGAGGGCTTCTCTGGTTGACGGCAGAGCGGATGGATTGATATCCGATGTGGCAGCATGTAGCATTGCCCCAGTGACAGGTGACGCAAGCTCGCGTAGAGCACCCGAGACAGGCCAGTTGCATCGTTCAGAAGGCGAAGCACCCTGCGTTCCCGGTTCGTAGAAGGCAAGCTGCAGCTACTCTTCATTCATAATGCAAGCTCGCAAAAGGGACCGCAACTACGCCCGGGAAAGTGTTGCTGTGCTTCGTGATCGACAGGGATGTCTCCAAGCTCGGGCCGGCCGATGACTTGACGGCCAACCTTAACGGCAAGGCTCCTGTGCTTTGGTCCCACGGTGCCAAGGCAAAGCGGGTGTCTGGGACTGAAAACTGTGTCACGGGTCGCAGTGCGTCTTTCTGAGCTGATGTTTGAGAAAGCGCAGCCGACTCTGAAGGCGAGGCTTTCTCAATGATCCAAGAGAATGGCAACCCTAATATGCCGGTAGAGGACATTGCCTCAAGACAAGGGCTTGTGTGTGTTGGAAGTTCGTATTTGTCGAAGGATCTGATGGATGATTGTTGGCTCCTACGCCAAGCATGACTGCCGTTTACGAAGCCGAGCCGACGATTTCTCCACCGCTTGCCTTTGGTGTCTTGCGGCATGGTTGGCACGGCCATGTTCAAGAGCGAGGAGAACCATCGGAAAAGGAACCACGACGTCCCCTCACCGACGATGTGACGGAGGACACGATTTTGGAGAAGGGTGATGCATTGGTGAACAAGCATCTCCGATTTCATCGAGAAAAGCAGATCAACGTCGACGAGCTCAACTACATCGACGACGGCAAGTGCCTCTTCGTGGAAGATCTACTTGTGCATGGCGGCCTCCAAGCGATGGACCTCCTGTGGAAAAGCTTCCTACATGGTCTCCTTCGTCTACTACACGATCCAGGATAAGGACAGCGTCGACATGCACCACCGGATATCAAAAACAGCAATGGGGAACAGGAAGCAGCTCATCCTGTCGGACGAGATCACCCATAAGATCCATAAGGCCATAAAGAACATAAAATTCTGACGATCCGGACACCTTCAACCCAGGGAGCGCTCACTCGCCCTGGTACTTTAGAAATTGGAAAAAACACGGCGGCTGTGAGACGATCTAGAGCGCACGGCAGTGACATAGTGTCACCATGTACCGATGAGCGAACACGCCTACTCGGTCACAACACTCGCATTCCCAGCGCACTGTAGCAAAACCTTTTTTTACCGAAAAGGAGTTAAAAAACAAGCTACCCGAAATTATGCAGCTCATCACAAGCGCTCCTGGTGGGTTACATGGATGCACAGCCCACGGACAACGTCGCTTCGCGACCGCCTTGTCGTCTTAGGCGCCCATGCGAGCACGGAGTCGGTGCGGCCTCCTGGAAAGTCTGGCCGTCTCTTGTGGAAATTGTGCGTCTTTTCGTGGAGCCTTTCAGCTCGAGGTCCTACGACGAGCGGAAGTGGCGACCGGTCCGTGGAGGGCACTCAGCTTTTGAGAGCGGCGCAGGCGATTTGCAGTTGCGAGCCAGCAGCCCCTTACCAGCGCCGCCGACAGGGAGTGGCTGCCGAGTCTTTGTCGGGAACCTGGCCTACAGCAGGGGCCTTGGAATCCACTTTGTGCGGTTTGCATACGCAGCCGCTGCGATTTTGCAGGTGTGACCTGGCAGGAGCTCAAGGACCGTCGCCAGTCGTCTTTCCTGAAATGCGTGCCGCAGTTGAGAATGTTTTCGTGGCCAGGACCACATGCGGGATGCCGGCCAAGTGATGTCGGCCGCCAGTGAGCGACCAATGGAGCACCACGCTAACTTGTAAATCGGGGAGGTTCTGCCAAATCCTCAAGGAGCCCGGCACTGCGCTGCGCCGAGCCCTCGGGTATCGGCTCCCGCACAATTCCTGCGGAGCACCTTTAGACAGGTTCGAAGGGCTGCGCGCTGGTGGAGTACAGCACTCCCAAAGAGGCACGGAAGGCTATCAACATGATGACCGACAGCGAGCTCCGAGGAAGGACTCTTTACATGCGCTTGCGGGATGGAGCCGGTGTTTTCAACTGCGAAAACCAACCACACACTGGAGATGAAAAGCCACCGGAATACATTCAGACACGATTTAGCGGTATCCTTCTGAACTGCTCGATTGTGCAGGAGGATATGGGTGCGCGAAGACCGTGAGGCCACCGGCTGAATCGCAGCAGGGTTCTTGAGCACTGGCACTGCATGTCACACACGGACAGCCGAGGAGTGAACAGGGAGCTGCGCATCGACAGCCGATAGCAGAAATGTCGATTGGAGTTCCGGCCCACGTTATGGACTTGGCCTGGAGGATGTTTATGATTCAAAAAGCAGCATCCTGTCAGTGCTGTGCTGGCTTGGAGGACAGAAAGCATGATGCAAGCATTGTACAATTCAGGATTCAATTTGCAAGCCAGAGGACCTCAACGCATCTCCTTGAAAGTCCAAGGCTTGTAGCCGTGACGAGAAGCAGGGAACACGAATCTAGTGTGTGTCTTTCTTGGGGAAGTCTCACCCAGATGCCTCATGTCAGAGAAGGCTCGACTGCACTGCAGTCCGGGACTTGTGCCACATCGGCTCATCGCGGCGCAGCAGGATGTTTGAATGTTTGAGCTCTTTCGTGCATTTTGCTCAGTCGCATGCTCAGCTTTCGAAGTTTCGTCTTGGAGTACCGGCGGAGAGGCAACATTCGGACACTGAGGGCAGCTGTGCTCGCAGCGGGGCTGATGGGACAGCCCCGCCACCTCAGAGCCAAAGTCGGCTGCTTAAGGGCAAACGTGTGCACTGTGTGATGTTCTTTCGGCGATCTCTTCAGGCCGGCCGGACTCCAAAGGCACCTTCCGCTCGTGTGTTCTGTGACTATGACTATTATGTTTGACTAGCCAGAAACGGACCGAGAAGGCGCAAGCTTCCTCGATGCCCTGTCACTGAAGCCTCGGCCTCGCTCCGCCTTCGCTCCGCCACGCCACTGCAGTGCCACTGCCTTTGAGCGAAGCGGCGGACTCCCTGAGGCCCTCCGTTGTCGACGATGGCGAGTTGCTTTTCCCGCCCCGCCAGGCAGCGGAGCAGCGGAGCATAGCGCCTAGAAAAGCCTAGCCGCTGAGCCTTTGGCTTGGTGTCAGGTGCGACCGAACCGAGGCTCTAGTGCACCCCGGGCCAAGAGCGGAAGGTCGGAACTCCTGGACGCCATCTTCAGCAACGGTGTGTCATGGCAGGTGGTCCCAGCGCTCGCAGTACACCGGCGCAGACTTCCAGGCACGTCTTCCTTCGACCCCTTTGCTGCCCTTGCTCTTTGCTGACGATGGAGGACCTTCCCGCCGAAAGGGGGGCCCTGCGAAACTGGCCAAGTGAGTCGCGGTCCTGACTGAGACCCGAGGCCTCAGAATCAGAAGCCTCTGGCTGCGCTTCTGGGCTTATTGGCCTCCGGCTCCTCCCCGCCGATGCGGCTTTTAGGCGTTCATTGAAAATCAATGTGCGGTGCTAACGACAGCTGAGCTCGACTTTGAGGCATGGAAAAGCTTGCATTTTCTTCAGACTTTCAGACAAAGCTAGAAGGGCTTGCACCTGCCTACGGCAGCTTACGGGTCTACATTCTGCATCAGTGCTTGGCTCGCTTGCCGGTGGCTGTGGCGTGGCTACCGCAGGCCGCAGGGCGATCGGGGACCGTCCGCCGCTCCCGCATCAGCTGAGAATGGGATGCCTGGGATGCTTGCGTCAGGCGCCGCACGTGGATGGCTCGCGGCAGAGGCCGCTCTGGAAAAGGCCGGGTTAGGCGGCCAGGAAGTTCGTCTAAGACGCGGCGGCGGCCGTGAGGATCCACGGCCAGGGAGCCGCCGGAGGATGCCGCGCCGTCAGCTGGGCCCTGGCCTAAGCCTTGCCTTAAGCCTTAAGGATGTGACGCCAGAGCGCGGGGTTCTCAATACTGTTCGTTCGGGGGAGTCTGAGTGTGATATAGGTTTCTGCTTGCGTTGCCAGCATTGAGTCGCGAACCGCAGAAACGCAGCAGCCGGCCTCGCGCAAGATTTTCTTTGGTCGCTTCGGCCAAGGTCCAGCTTCAAAACGCACACATGGGAACAGTATGGATCCGGAAAACGAGGACCTGGAAACGACACCCACAAGTGCAAGCAGACTCAAAGTTGACATGATTCAGAAGAAGGAATCATTCTTTCTTGACAAGATGCTTGCATTTAGCCGAGCTGAGCTGGTGACCGAGCTGAGGCGCGGCATCCGACGAGACCGTCCGCCGCCGCGGGAGGAGCTCGCGGTCCGGGCCGGCGGGGAGGCGCCGCCCGGGCCCGGCGGGCCCCGCCGAGATGAGCCACGTCCGGTAGCGCAGCCGGGGCCTCTGGGAACCAAACCACCCCACTCTGTCGGTGGCAAAGTTGGGGCGGATTTCTTGGGACTCTGCTCCTAGCCGTCCTAAGGAGGCGTGGGGTGGACCGAGAGATCTACCGGCTTCAGCAGGTGCGCCTTCTGCTCTTTGAAAGTGGGTTCACTTCACTAGCGCTGTCCCTGTCTCTGCAAACTCTCTTCTCTCTTCGCTTCGCCTTGGCGCCGAGTCGCACAACTATCTCTCGATCCCCAAAGCAGCCTTTGCTCGGGTCGTCAAAGACATCCAGCACGTACCCCAGAGAGTGAGCGCCACAACATTCGCCATTCGAAGCCTTCCATAAGAACTTCTTCTGAGCAGGTCCAGCTTCGCCGAGGACGACCCCGCCGGAATGGCTTCGTAGTCTTGATCTTTCTTGTACGGGGGCACTTTCGGAAGCCGAAAAACTCGATCTGCCATTTCGCCGGGCCCCTGAGGAGCCCTTGCGCTTCAGCACGGAAGCTCTGGAACTCCTGCAAGCGGCCACCGAGGAGATCGCGGTTGCAGAACGGCTTGGCAGCGAAAAGAACATGGCAGCATCCTGAAGAAAGAGGCTGTACTGAAGATCTTTCCGAGGAGTACTTAATGTACCTCTTTGCCGATGGGTATCTGGCCTCGGCCTCAGATGGGGGCCTCTTTGCTTCAGCTTCAGAACTCGAAAGTTTTTGTGCTTGGCTTTTCAAGGCAACGGCCCACCGGCGGCGCGTGACCCTGAGCTCCGAGGATGTGCGCCTGGTCCGGCGCTTGCGACAGCGCGGCGCCCGTGCTGGACTCTAGACGGAGGGTCCCCTAGGCCCTAGCCCAGCCGCCTTGCTGGACTTAGGCCCCACTGCTGGGGAGAGACGCGATAATCTGTCGCTGCACCGGTGCTGGAGCTCCAATGGACTCTGGTTGCTGCGTTTGTTTATGTGTGTGAGCCGGGGCGAGATGTTTGTGGCCCAAAGGCCTGTGACCAAGCCATCTTCTACACAGCAAGCGGTGTTGACTGTCCCTAACCCTAAGACTGACGCGCGGTTCCTGGCAGGGCGAACCTTGTCACAGAAGCGGCTCAGGGGCAAAGAGTCTCATTCAATGAATGATGCCACCACCATGGCGGACATGAAGTGCTTGCGATCTGTTGTTTTGTTCGGCAGTCGGAGGTTTAGATACAACACTGCCAAGCTTCTGGAAGCACTTTGTGCACGCACATGTAGGCATGCTTCGAGGAATTGCCGCGTCCTTGTCTACCTGTCTACGAGCATGACGTGTCCATTTTGCTGTAGCTTTCTGGTTCCAAGTTGGAGATTGTGTGAAGCAGGTCCGAGGCTGGCGGACACACCTCACCCGGCTCGTAGGAAGCACCATTTGAGCAGTCAGCCATCACGCTCACTTGAGAGGCAAGAGACGTTGACCGTATTGCCCACTCCATATCTCCTATGATTCCAGGTTGAGCTGGTTCAGTCGAACACCAATGGATATGTCTCCTGTCCAAGGGTCATTGAGTCCACACGCGGGTCGATGTGTTTCGTCTCTTGCCACTTTGCACAGATGTGCCGGCATGGCCTGAACTGTAACCTTCCTGCTGATGTTCGCGCGGTCAGACATACCGTCCAAGTTCAGGCTTTGCCGGAAGAGATGCCCGCCTTGATTTCTCGAGGGGCAGTTGAAAATTATTTGCTGGCAGCTTCAATCAGGCTGCTGCCACTGTAGGAAACGTTTCACAATTCAGACGTTGTCATGTTCGGATCTCCCGCACAGTTCTCTCTAGCCTAAGCATGATGGAGCAGACAGTACCAAACGGTTAAAAGGGTTGCAGGTAGTTCATGCTCGTTCATATCTCCCGTTGGCTGCCGTTCTCGTCAGAGCGCGTTACCAACAGGAGATCGGCTCAACAAGCGGCTCGGCAAGCGTAGTGGTGCCGGATGGCCGGAGACGTGATGCTTGCGCTTGGCACGATCGAGCTTCGGAGCTTCTTGGCGATTCCTCCGCCGCCGTCCAAGCATCGCTCGAGATGGCACATGGACTCCCAGGTTAGTTCGAAGAAACCGCGCTTCTTGATGCAAAGTGATAGGACTGTACGCATTGTTCATGTCGCTGATATGACCGCCATGCGAGCCGTGAGAGCCAACCGTTGCTGGAAGGCGGGCACCTGCACCCATTTGTTGCGGTTGTAGAGCGAGGGCGGAGAGCCTGTTCCGTAGAAGGCGTGGTATCGGAGCCTTGCAATCGCCTTCGTGGTCCCCGCATGCGATCAGGCGAAGTGTCGTAGTTTTGCTTCTTCGTTGTGGATCAGATTTCAGGCTTGGTCTGTGCAGAGCTTGGCATATGTGGCTCCGGCAAGCAGGGCCCACGTCTCGAGAGAGCTCTGCGGGATCTTCCAGTGAGCTTGAAGCCTTGACGAAGCTGAGGGCAGCGGACTTCCCAAGCCCAAGGCTGTTGGAAGCAGAGTTTTGAAGATGCAGAGCTGTCACAGCAGGACCTGTGCAATTTCAGAAGTGTTTGCCCACTAAGGCAGGAAGCAAGGAAGGCATGTTTCCGTCCGCACCGGCGCTGGTCCTGCCGCTGGTTAGGGTTTACGTTGTCTCAGTATGATTTGTGGTACTGTTTTGCATGCTGGCCCTGTGGCAGCAACTGGAGTGGGCAATGCCTCTGCTGCATCTCCTCTCAAAACCAAGCGCTGCTTGAGCTTTTTGAGATGCAAGACATGCTGATCGCTACAAGCCCGGTCACGCCCAAGTTGAAGCAGGTGGTGACGCCTGGGCACATCCGTGCAAGGGCCTCGCCAGCCAGTCCGGAATTGGAGAAGCCTCATGTGAGGCGATTAGTTGCACTGGGCCTGGGTAGTGCCCTCCTTGTGCGACAAGGTTTACCATCCGGTTCAAACCGCCAGGCCGCTAGACCCTGCGTCAGACCCAGAACCGCTAGGGTGGCACTGAAGGCCGAAGGGGCCGAAGGGGCCGAAGGGGCCGAAGGGCAGGAGGACCCACTCCTCGCGGAGGCCAAGGCAGCGGCGGAGGCTGCGAAGCTCCAGCTGGAGGCTGCGAAACTGCGGGCCGAAGCCGACGAGATGCGCCAGGCGACGGCCGTGGCACAGCGCAAGGCGCGGGCCGTTCGGCTCCTGGGCAGCGAGGACGTTCCCGGCATCGGGCTTCCTGGCTGCGCAGACCAGATGCGAGCATTGTTGAGCCTAAGTATAAGTATGTTTAAGACTGCTAAGAGGAGCTGAGCAGAGCTGAGCAGTTTTATGCTTGGAGGTTGCCGGAGCTCATGGCACGGCTTCAGGAGACGGAGGGTGTGAGCTTGAGCGGGGAGCAGGCCCTGGCCCTGGCGGCGGCTCTGGGCTTCACAGAGGAGCCCTACTTCTTTCGTTTCGAAGAGCTGAACTCCGAGACCTTCGACACGAAGCTGGCGCAAATCCAGACGGAGGCACGAACAGCCGAGCAGGCAGCCGCCGCAGAGAAGCGCCGGGCGGAGGCCGCGAGGGCGAGCCAGGCGCAGAGCCAGGCGCAGAGCACAGGCCCCACTTCCACTTCGGCTCCGCAGGAGGTGATCAGCGACGATCGCAGCGGCCAGACTGCACTAATGATTTGGAATTGTGTGAGGTTTTGTGCCCTTACTGCATGTTTGAAGCGCTCAGACGCAGGTCTTGGCCCTAGGCTGCTCGGGTCCCTCGCCTACATCCTCCCGGTCACAGAGGCCTTCAAGCTGATGTTGCCCCTGATTCAGGTCTTCCCTCCACTGGGAATCGTCTTCGGCCCCATCACATTGCTGACAGTGTTGCTGAACTTTGCACCCTTCGTCCCGTTGCTGCTCTTCGTGCTGTTCATTGTCCTGGCACAGTCCAAGGAAACTTGACCTGCAGGCGTTGTTCCATGGGATCGAAACACGCAACACTAGCTGAGGACAATGTGCCCAGGTTTTTGCGTTTCAACCTCGAGCAGGTCCGCTTTTGACTTTGATGTGGCCATCACGCGCAGAGACTTAGACTTCGCCTGAGAGGCCGTGCTGCTAGACATGGCGCTGACGATTCCCAGCTTCATCCTCTCAACAATGCAGTTTTCCGGCGCTGGCGAGGCACGTCTGCTGCGCGAGCTGGTTGTGCTTCCTGCGCTTGCTGCGCCTGCCTCGAGTGTCTTAAGCCTTAAGCTTCCTGAACTCCACTCAGGCAGTGCTCGTAGGTGGCGCCTTTGTCTTCGCATTGGTTTTTGGCATCTCCGTGCAACTCGGATCCATGGGCAGATTGTGATCTCCTGATCCCGCTTGTAAGGCCCGCATGACGCATGTGGCTGCATGATCTTAAAGGGTTGACCCATTGGCAGGTATGCGGTGCTTTGCAACCTAGATGGAAAAGATCCGGATGGAGTTCCCTTCATTTCCAACATCACGAAGAATGTCGTGGACCGGCAAACCTTTTTCGACGAGTCACCCAATGAGGATCAGAAGTAAGACTGCTTTCCTGTCCCTCGACGGGGGCTTCGTCCATTTGGGTGCCAAACGGGTGCCCCTGGAATAGGAGACGACAAAAGGCCCTTCGCAAGTGTTTGCTCATGTTGCGTTGCGCCGTGTGAGCTCGCATTGGCTGGCTTCTGTGTGTTCAAGGAGCGGTCACAGTGTTCCGGCAATTCAACGGATCCCATCAGGCTGTATGCGGGCACACAAGCTGCAAACTGTTTAAGTGCTGCTTGCCGGTATGAGGCTGCGGCGAGGCCGATATATTTCGTTGCGTCCAAAGCCCTGACACCAGTACTCGGGCATCAACGCGCCGAAGTGAAGCTCGGGATGCAGACAAAAGACCACACTCTTAAGTGGATCTCACGACAGTTGGTGCCGCCCGGCGCAGTTAGGATTCGCCCTCTGCCAGGAGGCGCAGCCTCTAACGCCGCCAAGAGCTGTCAGCGCCTGAGGGGCGAGTGCAACAGTTTTTTTGGGATGTGATGTCGTGATGCATCCATGCATCTTTGAACATTGCCTCGAAGTGTGTTTGTGTGTGTGTGTGTGTTATTTGAAGCGGCGCTTAAGTTGCAGCTTGAAGACTTGCCTCAGCAGCGAAAGCCCGGTTGCATCCGTGCTTTGCATGTGCGAGCGGTCATGGTCTTGACTTTGAAGCCAGAACCCAGCAAGGCCAGTGCGGCCAGCTTGGCCAGCGCCTTGGCTCAAGGCCAGAGCTCTGTTTCAGCGGTGTACAAGGTGCACCTTGAGCACCTCCATTAGATGCAGGTGATGCAGGTGCAGAAGAGGCGACTCGTCTCGCCGCTTGCACCGTGGAGGAGAGGCGCCGCCCTGACCCGCACTCGGATGCACTCTGGTTGGACGCCCGGCACGTGGAGCTATGTCGGGCAGGCGACCCACGGGATCCCTTCTGGAAGAGCCACTGCCCCAATTGCGGCTGTGGGGGTGAGCCGCGCCATGCATGCCCTCTTTGTCCTTTCAACTGCAAGAGTTCCAGGTGGTTTGTCCGGGACGCGACAGGGGACTTCGAGAACTGGAGGTCACGAGGCCCCGTTCTAGGCTTTGAAATGGCCAAGAAGGGACGTGGGACATAGCCCTGGCCCTTGGCAGGTTCGGGGGGCGAAGCGGCTGTGAGTGTCCGATGCAGAGCGGCGGAAACCAGGGCCGAGGCGATGCGGCGAACTGCGAAAGTCAGACCCAGAAACCCGAATAGTCTGCGCAGACCGCTAGGACATCACCTGCCTGGAGTGTGTCAGCCACGTGTCGGAGAACCTGGCGATTCTTGCTCTCACAGCCTGCGGCATCTGGGGGATGCAATGACGGCCAGGACGTCCCTTTCACGTCGCATCGCAGGGATGCACTTCTGCCAAGCGAGCGGCGGAGGTGCAGAGCGAGAGAGACAGAGACAGAGAGAGAGAGAGAGAGAGAGAGAGAGAGCGTCATTGCGATTCCAGGCAAGCCACACTCGATGCCCTAGCATCGGTCATGCAGGCCAGGCTGGTTTCTCCTTGGAGGTCGGGCACAGTCGTGTGACCACGCACCTTCCAGTTAAACGGCTCATCTCTGCTTCTCTGTGTGCCCCCCTACGGGATGTCTTCGAAGGGATGGGAGCATGGAGCTCTGCCGACGCGCGGCTGCGGGTGAGAACGCCTTTTGCAAGTCCGCCGCCGTGACGGTACCTGCTTGAAGCAGGGACGTCCCGATTTCTTTCACACCGCAAGTTCGCTCAACCAGCATCGGAAGGCTCAGCTTTTCCCGATCTGCAGCAATCGTGATGTAACCTGCAGGCCTGAAATTGTAACAGCCCTCCTTGTGACGTGGTGTCATTGCCTGTAGCCTGTAGCCTGTATCGTCTGCATGTTGTCCGCAGGGAAACGCTACGCCGCTTGATGCTGCTGTTTCACAGCTGATCAGCCGCCGCCCGGCAGTCCATTCGACTTTCTGGCGCCCAGCTTCGCAGCCACACGCCGACAATTTTCAGTTCTCCAAAAGAAGCTTGTGCAAAGCCCTCCGCAACGTCGGTGGCATCGTCACTATGCACATGTCTTCACCATCGTCGCGTTGCAGAAGCATCACCATCGGTGGGGCTTCGTTGTCGGACCGCGGCTCTTTCAGCTTCAGGGAGACTCGGCAGCGGACTTTTGACCCATGGCGAAGCCACTTGTTTGCACTGCTTGCACCGTGTTGGCACCGTGTTCTTAGCAGAGAAATCGCGACCGTTCCAAGGACTGGCAGTCTTAAGAGGAGGTTCCAGGCCGCCACTCCCTTTGAGACTTCTTGGCTTGCTGCCCAATGTCTTGCCAAATGAAGGATGCGGATGGAACTCAGCTTGAGCTGAGCGGTCAGGAGCTCGAACAATCAGGATCCAAAGAAGGCCATGCCTCGCGGCAACGCCTCTCCGTGCCTCTCCGTCCAAGTAGAGAAAGAAAGCGCAGGCGATGCACAGAAGAAGACAGATGAGTTCGCAAAGGCTTGATGGGAGCCGCCAGTGGCGCGTTTGCCTCGTGCACCCGATTCCAGGCCATCGCGCAGGAGCACATGCATGAGGCGGGGGACCAGCAGTGAACACACAACCCGCCGGATGAAAAATCCATCACCTGATGCAGACCAAGCCTGCCAAGCCTAGCAGCCGAGTACACAGTGATGGCGCTCTCAGGGACGTTGCTTGACGACTCCGATCTTCTGTCTTGAAATCGGTGTTTGCCCTTTGGTGCAGTCTTCCAATTCTGGAGGGCTGGTATGGGCTGGTGGTGGTGTTGGGACACTCGTTTGGAACTTAAGAAGCTGCAAGGATTGGGCAAGTGATTCATTTGTGATCCTGGCGCTTCCAGCAAAAACTGCCCTCCGTGCCACGGAGTTGTGCATTCGGACAGGTGCCGGACAGCCACAAGCCTTTCGTGGGTGCACAGCCCAAGCTGCTGAAGGTGCCAAGAATAGCTGACAGCGATGCTGCCTGGCAAGCAATTGTAGTTGGGCGATGGGCGCCCTGCAAGCCCTGCGAATTCCGGAGAAGTGAATGCATTGCACAGTGTGCGCGAATCTGAGGAAAGCTATCGAGCGACTCGAGTTGCCTGCCAAGCAATCACGACGGCAATCAAAGGAGCCGACGGAGTCGTGCTAGTCTTCGCGCAGGACTGCGAGCCTGCCCAAGTTCCTGGTACTGTAACGGGACATCATGTAACAATATGTAACACAATGCTGGACCGTCTGTCGACTCGACGACCCTACTGTTGCGCAGGACGCATCCGTGTCCAGCGACTGCAAGAGCCTCTTGGAGCACTGCTCCGCGACTTGGTGGAGCAATTCACTTGCTGCCCTTGGCCCTTGGCGCCATCCTTTGTCGAAGCATCGGCCAAGGATTCCAAGGACATCATCGAGAAGGCAGGGAGAGAAGATGAGGACTTGCGAAGAGCCTCGCGGTACTCCTTCCAGGCCAAGGTCCATATCGCCCCCGCAACCGACTGGCAGCATACCATACCAAACACGCAGAGCGAGCATCCAGCTGAGAAGCTTTGTGTTGTTATCCTCGGGAGCTTCGTGGAGCGCAGCAGCGCGAGGTTCGGGCCCGTTCCTCGGGCTGCCGAGGGCGACCGCTTGCTCATCTATGTAGGACCGGGCGGAAGAGACTCGCACACGTAGATGGGGTCTAGGGCGCTGCAGCGTCTTGCTTTTTGCAGGAACGCCGGGGAAGTATGCAACCATGTGCCTGCGGTCAGAACATGGCCAGTTCGACGCGGCCTACCAGGCAGTCAGCGGATCAGACAAAGCCAGTCAGCAGAGCCTTGCATGGGGCCCCGTGCCTGCCATGGCTCAAGATATCTCCAGTCTGTTCCAAGTTCTGGGGCGGGGGGTCGTAACTAAATATCTACTTTCTATCCGTTCAATGCTTCGGCGCACCGTTGAAACGATGCCTTTCCAGAGACTGCTTTGCAGGCAGATCGCCTCATCGTACTCTGCAAAGGAGTGGCTTGGACTGCACATGGGCCAGCTGCGCACGTCCTCTGCTAGTCTTGGCTCTTGGCTCCTGGAAGGTTTGCATGCTTCCCATCGGCACGCAAGAGCAGAACATCCTCGGTGTCGACGAGAAAGAAGCCAAACCCTGGTGCGGTGTGTCCTAGATCCTAGGAGCTCCGGCAAAGTTCAGGTCCTGAAGTCGATGTGCCACACACTGAAAGAGCGAGGCAGGACCCTTCGCGCCATGGGCTTGATCCCCTGCTTTCAGCTGTGGTCAGGACCAGTTGCTTGGGGATTGGGAGATCACACAAAGACGACGTTTTTGCAGAAGGTGTCCCAGTCCCGGAGTTCTGGGCAGCAGTCGGATTTCCATTTGCCAGGCATATGGCTATCCACAGGCCTTGCAAGTGAAGCCTGCCGCTGGACAAGAAGCGTTGAGTGCAGACGCGCAGAGCAGGCATTGCCGGCACCTTCGAAGCTGACATTCGGCAAAGAGCGGGTTGGAGGCTTCAAGTGTTTGGCTGGAAGCCCAGAGCCCAGTCTCATGAGCCAAGGTCGCCTCAGGCAAGTCCCCTCTTCCGTGCACAGGCAGACTACGTCAAGTTCACCAACAGCGTGAAGCTAGCGAAGCCGCTGACTCAGCTTTACGTTGCGGTGCGGTTTTCCTGCAGTGCACACTGCACAAATGCTGCGGCCACCCCAATTTTGAAACTGCCTCGATGCTGAAAAAACACTAACAAGATGGCTTTCGCTTTGGAATGCCGTCCTGCCGTTGACGCGCAGGGGAGAGCAAGTGGAGACTGCGCCTGGACAGAGAGAGTGCGCCGACCGACCGATTGTCCTTAAGTGCTGCTGCTGCTGCTGCTGCTTCCAGTCACGCGGCGTCACACGACCGTGGCGGTGTCCTGGGGCGAAGTCCGATGACTCCTAGAGTCCTAGAGAGCCAGCGACACTTGCATCAGGGCTAAGCGGTTAAGCGGCGAAGAAGAGCGCATAATACATGAGAATTTTCCCGTGCATTGCATCCTTCGCTCCAGTCCTGAGACGATCGCACGGCACCCGGCATCTTCTGAGAGCTGTCTTTGCTGTTGGAATCGCGGACGTTAAAGGTGAAGAATTACTACGATACAGGTCTAACAGCCCTGGGCTCAGAGACCAGAACACTTCTCCAGATGTTAGAGCACTCTTCCCAAATCGAGGTGTCCGTCCTCATGGCCACCGTGGTTTCAGAGGCCGGGCAGTGCAAACCCTTCAGCCAGGGACTGGTGACCTGGTTGCAAGGGTACATCACTTCTCACAGATGCTGATGGCTTGGCCATGCTTCGGGATGCCAGCATCGGCTCAACCCTCAGTCTCGTGTTCAACGAGCTGTCTTCTTTCGCGACGCTTCTAGCTAAGGGCACATAATGTCGAAGCTGAACCAGGCCAAGAGAAACCAAGTTGTGTACCCTCGGACACGTGCTGGGGCAGGTCATCACCGTGGAGGAGCTCGCGAAGAAGCGGCTTGGACAACACACAGCAGCGCATTGTTGCACAGGGTTTTTGTCGAATGTCTTGCGAACGCCCCGCCGTGAGCTCACAGCGTGCCAGGAAGAGCGTCTACAACTTCTACATTGGAGCCACTTGGATCACTTTCTGAAAGGTCTTTTTTCCACGGTTCGTCTTCGGAGCCAAGGACGGAGCCTGCCGTTTGAACGGAGGGACCGAGTTGACGCTGCACCTGATGGAAGGCAAGGGATGCAGCTTCTTGAAGCTAGTCAGCAGTACGCCAGCAGCCCGATTGTTGGCAGGAAAGTCTGCCAACTGCTTGACCAATGTTTTTCTCTTCAACAACAAGGCACAATTTCACTGAATGGTGAGTCTTTACAACGGGGCCAGGGCACCGCACCGGAACGCCCGATGGCTGTGCCATGGCGGAAGATGTCGATGACGTGACAGCAAAGTGAACATATTCATGACACTACCTGCACGATCCTGCACGCACGAAGGGTGCGGCATCTCCCACTTTAACGTCACATTGTGTTTTCCATCCCGGACAATTGTGCCAGCTTCGGCTAGCCTCTCTTGCCAGCCGGGTACTAGTAACGGCCTGCACCGCAGCGAAGAGTGGCTCGCACAGGAAGCAACAAGAGCAGCTTTGCAGAGCAAGTCGCCGCCCGCATCGTCGGAAGTAGCATTTTCACACGTCACTTGCAGTTGGATGTTGGGTTCTCGTATGCATAAGCTGCTGTCCAGGCCTGGGCCATTGAAGACAACCTGGTGGCCACAAAGGAGCAAGAGCATGTGCTGGATCTCAGCTGCAGCAGGCGAAGCAACACCAGCTAAGTCTGCTAAGCCCCTGCGGCGCTGCGGTGTGCCGTTGAGTCAAGGGAGCAGTCTGGCTTGGTGTGTTTGTCTGGTCTCAATCCGTGCCTAGGTGCTCTACAACACCCAGTTCTACGACGTCATCGCAGAGCACCAGAAGATCTGTATTTGCTTCTCGGCTCTCGGCTCCTTGCCGGGGATTTCGTTTCGAGGAGGAAAACTTTCTGAGTGCCAGGTGAGACTGAGCAGGATCTGAGGGAGATCCTCATCTACCTCAGCGTGCCTTGGCCAGCAGTTTTTTGACTGCGTGCTGATTTTTATCATCTGTCGTTTGCGTTTGAGTAGCGACAGGAGAAGACGGTGAAGTTCTTGGCCGGGGAAGCAAAGCCAGGCCCGGCGGCCCAGTCGCGACTCGCCGTCCTCTGGTCC